AGCGCATACCATGTTATTGCGTACTATGAAAAAAAAATCGCTGAAACTTTAAATTCTTTCCTATAAACTAGTATCCCGTTAACTAGATTCCGGAAAATTCGAGTTGTACTCAAATATGGAGTTTTTCTAAACCATTACTTCTAGATTTTAGACTTGTATTGTCGTTAAAGCTTCCTTTATCTTCAGATTTTGAAGAAAATGGCTTAAGGTGGTCTCTGGCAGCTAGTGAAGACTACGGCGCTCTAGTGTCGAGGCCGCGACGCAGGAGGCGCTAGGATGCCTTCGAGTCGCGTCAGGCGAAATACAGGCCACCGCTTGCGTATTTCTCGGAAGGCCACTCGTCGTTGATGTTGAGATTGGCAAATTTCCTTTTTCTGCTCATCCGATCTGTCTTGTTTACTTTCACTCAGTGCTTAAAAGACTATTTGAATCTTTTTTGGGCAAGGTAGCTTTTTAGAAGTGTTTTTGACATTATGCTTGCTTATTTTTCTGTTAAGTTTTTTTTTGCAATTCTGTTTCCTTTTGATTTTCTCAACTCGTTAGATAGTAATCTGCTTTAATCTACGGTTATGATGGTGAGTTATTTTAACGTTTTGTCCAATTATAAGGACGAGTTGTCCGTTGCTGCATTTTCGTATTGTTCGCTCTCGCCCTTGCAATGACGTTGATCATATATCCAGTTTTTCTTCTGAAGATGCTGCTTTATTGATCGTGACTTCTTCTCATGTTGTATTCATCTACCTATTTTTTTCCGTCAAGATGCTAAATATTAAATGTGTTTTAATCAATATGGAGGTGCTGTTATCGACCAACCTTATAATCGCATGACTTTTTCATGACGGGTTTTGTACAAAAATATGCTCAGGTTCAAGCTTATTTTTGTCTAAATATAGTACATCAATTTGGGCAGAAGTCATGACGTATTGGTGAAGTTATCTATGTGCTAAGATTATATCACGAGTTAAATCTTCCAATGTCGAACGTTCCATAATGAAGCATACGATGGCCATGTTAACATGATCAACAGATATAGAGATGTACCATGCTCCTTCAACATCGTCAACTCGAACTTTTTAAAATATCTTGACCTGCAGTGATATGCGACTGGAAGAAACAGTACAGGAGGAAAAACATCCGGATCCATTCTTTCTATTCGAAAAACTGAAATGAAATCAAAGTTTTTTTTAACACTCTGGAAATATCAGTATAAGCGAAGGATGTTATAAGGTGAACTCGTTAGAAAAGCATCGTCTTAGATGTGATTAAGTCTACGCTGGCATTGTTTTAGGTGTTTTAAGAGATAAAATTTGATGAAAACCAAGTAGAGAATGTGGCCTGAAGTGAGTCGAAAAAGTCAAACGAAACCCCAGCTAGAAGCGATAGTGGGAACTCTATGTTCAAGATGAATGTCTGTATGGGGCTTTCTGCTACGTGCACCTATTTATGATTTTATTTGGAGCAAAGACTGCTGTGTTTTTTAAAAAATGCAAACCTGAAATCGCATCATACTGCTATCGCAAAGCTTCGAGATGCGGGCAAATTGCAAATAAAAGCATTAAGAAAGTTGAAATATGTCACCTAGTAGTTTCCATCTCAGCGTCGTAATTTTCTGTTTTCCTAATGCCCTTCTACGTTCATCTTGTTGAGATCTCCGCTTCGCAAGCTTTTTCTTCAGAATAGCCGTGATTTTTGCATCGTGTCAAGCTTTCACTCCAGTTTTCCCTTTTCAGAGTGATATGGCTGCAGGACAAAATCTGGATGTTTCAAAAAAACTTAAGGTAATCTTATTCTTACCTTATTGATTCGTCTCGTCATGTAATATCAAATTTCGGTATACCCTATTTTTTATCTAGGCTGCCATAAAAGCAAAGCTGGAGGAGCTAGGAGTTTACGTGGATGATGAGCTTCCAGAATATATCATGGTCATGATTGCAAATAAGAAGGAGAAGAATCAAATGAAAGATGATCTGAATTTATTTTTGGGAAAATGTACGAGTAAATTTGTGGATTGGTGAGTGGTTGACACACTAGCTTTTTAGTTTATTTTACATGATAGTTCGAATTTCCGCGGAGTTTTGAGGATTGTTGATCAATATAGTGGCGCTTTCATATACTAAGTTCATATGTCTTTTCTGCATTGTTCTTTATATGCACATATTTTAGGTTATTCGATTTATTTGAACGGCTTCAGTCGGCTGGCAACAAACCTGATAGTCACACTTGTGCAGAAAAGTCCAGCAAGGTTAATTTTCATCTCTTTCATTTCTAGTGCGCTAGTAATAAACCTTATTCGTATGAAAAGTTTTTTCGCGTTTTTAGGATGTTCAAAAAGAGCCGGCGAAAGAAAAAGAGCGTAGAAAAGATACTGATGCTTCTACGTCGAGAAAAGAAGATAGGAAAGGTGAACGCTGCTGTTAGATTTACTTTGTTATTTTTGGATTTACTTCAAAAAAAAATTTTTTTTTGTTCTATTGCCTCTGTTTCATATCCCACAATTCTAGAAAGTCGAACTGTTTCATATCCCACAATTCTAGAAAGCCGAACTCATGAGTCCTCGTCGCATCGTCAAATTGAAGTGGAATCCAGAAAGCGAGATGTTGAAAAGGAGCGGGAACGCGAAAGGGATCGGGAAAAGGAAAAGGAAAGAGAACGAGAGAAGGAAAGAGAACGACAAGAAAAGGAAAGAGAAAGGCAACGGCAAGCTGAGAAAGCAAAGGAAAAAGAACGCGAAGAACGTATTAGAGAAACTGAACGTCAACAAAAAGCTCGTGAACAGGAAAAGTGGGTTTTTATATTGCATCCATGTAATTTTTTTTCCTGTAGGTTTTCTTGTTACCGTGTATCGTGTTATTTTGATTTAAGATTGAAACGATCAGAAGCATCACGCAGCCGCGAAACTGTACGTCCTACTCGCAGACGAGGCGAAAAAGAGCGCAGATCACGTTCTCGTTCTAGGACATGGTCTGACGATCAGTTTGAGCTTGAGGTGGAAGAACGATCGAAAAAGGTTATACGATGCATTTGTTATCAAAATATCGGCCTACTAGAGTAGGAAGTCAGGAGGGACTTTTCCTGCATCCCCGAGTTGAACTATGGTATCTTTCTGAAAGAAATTTGATATGGCTGTTCACCGAAACTAAGACTAAATAAGAAGGGTCATCCTTTCACCCATTTCAGGGTTGTCATTCTAGAACTTCTTCGTTTGATTACTTGTAAACCCTATGTTCCATCAACATAGCCCTTCTTTTCAAAAATATATTGTTAGTGACCTCCCATGGCTTCGTCCAGTTGTTCCATATTAGTTTGACATTTTATCTGCTTTTGCACAGTACATGTAATTTACTTTAAAAAAGCATGCATTGTTCAGGTTGCGTCTTCTGTTGTAGTGCAACGTCCAATTGCTGCTAGTCCAGAACCAGTGAAGGTGTCATCGCAAGTGCATGTGATGCGGAAGGTTAAACCAGCTGTTAGGTAAGCTAAGTGATCGTTGATGTTATCCAAATTTTTTCATTTAAAGTCCCTACTGCATCTGGGCTTTCAGAATGGTGAAGATCATAATTCCATAAACTAATTAGACAATGTTTCATAAGGGCGAGCAACTAGAGTCTTTATTAGGTCCTGTATGAGTGATAGTCGATGAGCATTACAGCTTGTAGAGCCATTTCCATCTTTTGATAGGCGCTGATTGACATCGTTCATTTGAAAGTTCAAGGCTTAGTTTGTTTCATTTACAGTGAAATGGAAAAGAAAACCATGAAAGCTGGCTCGTCTATGTTCCTTAAAGCTATGAATCAGGCCAGTGTTAGCGCTGGATACGGTGCTTCTCTGATGGACAAAAAGGTATAGTGCATTTTGAGGAAAAAGTTGATGAAATAATCTAATTTTATATTACAGAAACACGCTGCTCATAGTACCACCCGCTCTCCGCTCAAGAATAGAATTACCCGCCCTAATATTGTGGAAGTGGATAGCGATGGGTATGCTAGTATTCTACTATTATTCATTTGATAGCTATTTAACATAGCTATTCTCCTTTCAACCTTAGTCTTAATGTAATCGCACAGCTTTTTTTTT